TAATCAATCAGAACTGAATGGCGTTTTGAATTCATTATTTCAATCCAAAACGATTTGATCGATTACAAAAACAGTTAGCATTTCATACGCTAAACTTAGCCACTGATATTTCCACTTCATGTTTATACACAGTCATTAGATACCATAAACAAGAATTTAAAACTATTTTCTACTATATATTCAAGACAGGTTAAAGGCGTTTGTTTGAAAAAGTCCGTGACACCGATGTGTCATCAGGCCCAGCCAAATTCATAGTACAACGCGCATAGTTTCGATTTTTTWAACTTTTTAAACTACACTCTTTTAAATTAACTATGTACACAGCATATAGGATTGTAAAAAACGAATAGGATTTGTCCATTATTTAAATATGAATAAGTCAATATATAATACTTACAAAGAAGAAGGAATTATAAGATGAAAAACTGACTAATAAGGAAAATTGAAATATATATTAAATATATAACTATGTATCTTTATCTAAAAATCTACGTTAATAAGGACGCATATAGGACGTGTTATATGCTTTAGTTATATAGGTGGATCGAAAGTGTATATAGGTGGTTCGAAAAGACCTGGATCGAAAAGACTTTGGTTTGAAAAGACCGGCTACCATTTCACATTACTTGTGACTATAATTTATATTTTGGGGTGTTTGGGTATTTCTTTCTCCCTTTACTACTGATATTTTGATCATAAACTACAAAGAAATGTATGGAGCGATGTTCGATGTTGAGTGTATGACGTCATCATGACTGGCTACTGAGAGCTGGTATTTTGGCCCTGTTACTCTGATGGTACAGTAGAGGAAGAACCTAACATAATTTATAATAATAATTTATAGTAATAATAATTTATTGAATTTGTATAGCACAAATCTCAATTGGGGTATTTTCATTTGTGCTATACATACTGTACAATAACAAACAAGGAGATGTTTGATTGAACAATGATGAAGACAACAATGATGATAAAGATGGCAATGACAATGATGACCATTGATGGCGAATGATGAAGATTGCAGGGCACGAAATTAACTTTTAAACCCACCAGCAAAACCTTCCTAGTAAGTTTTATTCTCATTTGCAAAAATTTCAAAGTCACTAGCGATCGGACACAGTGAATAAGTATATGTAAAAGGACTCCATGCAGTCGGATTAAAGAAATAATTGGACGAAGAAAATTCCGAGGACTTCCAAAATTGGATGAGGCCATTGGCCGAGTCCAATTAGGCAGTCAGAGGAATTTTTYGAGCCTAATTATTTCTTGATTGGGGAGCATGAAATCCCATTACCTATTAATTATATAGCTGCCTAATTAATCCCATATCAACAAGACCTGTCCAATTAAGAAAATAATTGGACAGTTACCTATATGGGATTAATGAGAAGCTGTATAATTACAAACATTAATTGATATGGGCCCTAAATTTTTCAGTCCTTCAATTTCTGGACTGTGGTCATACTCACAAAACTTAGCTAGTTAAATTTTTTGTCACTTGCTAAATACAAAATTTCACCCGCATTTTGTGAGTTTGTGAGCATTAATTTTGTGCCCTGGATTCTGTTAAAAATAAATGAATAAAATATAATCATGTACTACATAATATTTAATTTATACAAATCATACGTATTTAAAACATCTTCTTACCTAAAAGCAACAGGAGCAAATGATTTGAATTTAAAGTCGCTAAATTTATGTGAAGGTGTTCCTTTTGTTCCCTCGCTGTTAAATCATAACAAGTTATCAAGATAAATTTATTATTGATTTAGTTATGTTCCCAAAATTATCTATACCCTGCCATGAAGGAATTGTTTTAAGAGCCCACCCTTACCCGCAAAACTCCAATGTTCTTCCATACAAACTCTGTAATTTTTGTTCTTTCTCTGCCCCCCCACCCTTCAGAAATTCCAAATTCCTCTGTGGGGTGGGTATGGATAATTTCTGGAAATACTTAATAATAGTTAAGGTATTCAATAATGATATTGCTGACTGTTGCTGACTGACAATAGAGTTGTGTTGGTGTAGTATACTGTATGTGCAGAAAAGGGATACTTTACAGTGTGTACATGTATAGTATGTCATGTCTGTACCTTGGAAACCATACAGTTTCAATTTCAGCAAAGTCTTGCATGAGTACATCACGTTCTTGTTTAGCCGACAGTCTTCCAACCTTCAAAACAGATGTGGCATATAATAAATTAGATTATTTTAAATAGACTGTTTTCTCAAGGTTGCATGCGCATCCAAATTTAAGGAACTTGACTTGCTACGATACCAGAACACTAGCTTCATGATGAGAATTATCATGTATTGCTATGATTTTTTTCCAATAAGAATTCATCAAATGGATTATTCTCCTCTTTAATTATGACACTGGCTTCTCAATTTTACTGAATTTTGCGTTTTTTAGTTTCGTGGTCCATCAAGATTGGATGCACAGTCTATTACCCAGTGATGAACTAGAGTGTTTGATAGAAACTGGGTAAAAAAGAGCACAAGAAGACACAAGAATCAAGAGCAGATCCAAGGGGGAGGGGGGGCAAAGGGGGGCTGAAGCCCCCCTTCAGCAGAAAAAACAAAACTGAAGAATTAGACGCTTTTTTTATTATTTTCTGTTGTTGACAGAAGAAACTCAATTAGCCCCCCTAAACTCAATAAGGCCCCCCTAAAGTTTTGGCTGGATCCGCCCTTGAGAATATGGATACAACTCAAATGAAGAATTTTCTAAGGAATGACACATGGTCTGAAATGGGAAAACATTACAGTGCGACTACTCCAACCAAAGTCACCTTGACAAATTTTCCACAAATTAGCCAATCAAAAGTAGGAATATGAAAAAAAGGATTGCTACGAATCGGACAAATCACGGCTGTTTCAAATAGGAATTTTAATCCGCTGACTAAAAGTATGGCTGACGCTATTCTTGCGTAAAACTAGATATCATATTACGAGAAGCGTGGTTTCGAATTTCGACTTCTTCCAAACAAGAAGGGATCGCTGATCATGAGGAAATTATTTACTTTATTCGTGGATGATATCAAATGCATGGTATTTGTGTCTGAATGATCCAGAAAATAAAGGAATGACAAGGTCTATAAATATTGTCTGGGAAAGCGAAGACCTCATTGGCAACAGTGACAGCGACGAAACTCTCGATTATGAGAGCGAATAATTATATGTATATAACATTTAAAAAAATAAATAAATAATTTAACTTCTACTAACAAATCAGTTTATACATCATAAGATTATTTTTCTATTTCTTAAGTGTATCATATCATTAACTTGAATTTTATTTACATATAAACATGTACTAGTACATAAGATGATTGTGAATGAGCGATAATATCACGTCAAGCATATACAGTATACCGGGCGCAACAAGTTTGAGAAATTGATGACACATCTATTCATACAATCTGTTCAGATCTTTTCAAAAAGACCTTTTCTGTGGGTTAAAGGTCTTGTTTTCTAAGATAAGCTTTCGCTAGAAGCAAAACACGGCATTAAAAGTTGAAAAACATTGCATATTTTGGCACTACACGGGCTTACCCATAAAATCCCGCCTCGATACTGGGAGTTCTAAGAAACATGGAAAAAAAATATCCATGTTAGCCCACAGAACAATTTTTCAACTTCAATCTCCGACCCCTCTAGTAAATGTAGGTCTTCTAGTTTATGCGAACTCGCTGCGCCCGATCTCCTTCTCGATTCAACCAAGTTTACATCTCTTCTACGAAATTTGATCGGCTTTAATATTAAACTATTTACCATATATGGTAAATAGTTTAATATTAACTCGCAACGATCTTCGCGCATGACATCTTACATACATTGCTAACACGGCTTAGAAGACTGCCGACAACTTTGTTGTTGAATGTAAACGTGCTGTCTCGTAGCAACATAGTGATAAGATCTAACAGTGTCAGCCTGATAATATCTTTGTCTGGAAGAAACAAACTGTAATTATAAAGACTGTACTTTATACGGTCTCTAATTTGCTTTCCTGTCATATTTGAAGTCGTACATTACTATATTTCTATACCTTTGGTGACACAAATCACTACAACGGAAGAATATTTAAATTCAAAATTTGCTGCTAATCTATTGTCTAAATACTCAAACACTATTGGATAATTTGGGGAAAATTTGTCGAGGTGGCTTTGGTTGGAGTAGTCGCACTGTAAGCCCTTGCAAGCTAAGAAAGTCCATTTCCCCAGGGTTTTTATTAAATATGGTAAACCAATTATACATTAAGCTGGGTTATGTTCTAGAGGGATTTTTTGCAACTTAATGAGGGTCATAATTATCGAAAAATCCTCAGACATTAATTACTTTGATCTGTGAAAAAAAAAATCCCCCTGAAACCCAGAGTATGGTAGACGATGTTTGAGACTAGAGTTGAGACAGATTAATCATGAGTTGAAAATGAAAATTTAGTCGGCATAGACATGTGAGCGCAGTGGTCACAAGTTTATTAGTATAGTACACTATTTAGTGCCACCCGGCCTCATTAAATAAAGTTGTTRTTATTATTATTATTATTATAGCGCAAAATAATATATTTGCTTCTGATCTACAATCTTGGTCAAAAATGTTGAGAAATATTTGGTTTTGATGTTATTTTCATGAAAAGCATGAGAAATTCCCCTTAAAACGACCCCCTCCCCCCCTAGACAATGTTGTTTCTAGGGATACAGGGCTGCTTTACCTACTGGGACCAACATTGTCCTGGGGGAGAGGGGGTACGGACAATATTTTTTTAAATAAGGGAAATTCTACTATTTCATGATTGGATGACAAATGTATTATAATCTACACTGCATAGCTGAATATTGAATACTAGTATTCACCACTGATAATTAATATAATTATCATAAATAACTTACTGTAAATCCAATGCCTAGCTGTATAGCAGACATCAATGCTGATGAAGGAGTCTGGAAGAACGAAGGCATGTTATTATGTAATATGTGATAACATGTAAAATGCAACCACTACCAGACCTTATTTTATGTTCATGAATAATTAACATGCCCTATTAAAATAAATTGGACTCTGGCGGCTTAAAAAGTCATTTATTGTAACTCACTGTAGTGCCAGTAGCAGGAGTTCAATTAAGATTTCTAAAAAGGTTTTTCCAGACATTCAAACTCAATCCAGACATTTAGTGACTCTGTACTTATTATATAAATATAATGTATAAAATTATATACCTACTCCATTATTTTAAAAACGATAGGTGAAGTTTTGTTTATTTATGACACCACAACAGCTTTTTGCCAATTAGTGTAGGCCCTGTAGAGTTTTAGCACGGACACCGAAGATGGTCATCACCAACGTCTTCAGTGGGTCTTTTACGTTTGCCTTATACAGGGTTATATTACCATTTACAGGTGTAATTACAAAGGCAGCACCATCTTCTCAGTTATTTTATGACCCTGAGCGTTGGTCAGGCTGAGGCTAGAACCACGACCTTCTGCACAACAGACGACGCTCTTACCAACTGAGCGAACTGGATGGCGGTTAATACACACGGTTAATACACACACACATTAATACATACCTTTTTATAAGTGGTCTCTCCCTTCTCATCAACTCTTCTATGTCCCAGTTTAGATCTTGGGGTGGTCACCTTTATTGTGTCTGTCTTTTCGTAATTCCCTGCCATGGCTTGGGTTGCAGATATCTAGACAATTTTCAGAACAAAAGGACAGCATTAGTCTTAGAGCACAACTAGAATACTCCATTGTACAGTACCCTTCAGTTACTATGAATAAAAGTTTCAAGCCTAAGCTGGAGTTTTGTCGCATAGCAAAACTATACTTTTAATCATGGGCAGCAACTCCTACCTTGACTTGCAACTATTATTTATGGTCAATGACCTAAACGGTAAAATGGAGTATTATGCAAAAGTATGAGGATACATTTTTCCTTATGCCAGTATTAAGTCAAGTTGTTTTTACTGTAGATGCAAACAAGTGCAAGCACTGTCAAGAGTTTTTATTTCATCAAGAAAACAGGCTTATTTTACCAGCTAAGCACAGGGATCATTGGTTATTCAAATTGCCAACTAGAAATCTATTGGACAATCCATTGAAGCTTTTGTTGAAACGTTTGGCAGGTTTTGGTACATTAATAGGGACCTTAAGCTGCAGGACGGCAACGTGGGCGACAACGTCGGCGAAATTCAGGCGCTTCAACCTTCAATTGTATTATTATTTCGTGTTTACCTAGTATTTTACTCAATAAGCATCCCTGTTTTGGAGTGAAATGACGTCTTTTGGGAGCGCTTTACTTATAACAAAAATCAGCAAAGATAAGCTCTTGGCTTAGGCGTTCTCTTTAGTACGTAAAAATAGGACATTTCACGTCTTACTTTCAGCATAAGGCAGCAATGATGCACAGTATTTCGTACATTCCAACGAGTACCTATTGAATAGCGCAATTAGTGCTATTGTATAGTTGCCGTCGTCGTCGTCGTTGCCGTCCTGCAGCTTAAGGTCCCTAATATCACAGTGTCAAAGTCTCCCCCTATATAAATATTAAGAGTAAATGGTTTGAAGCCCGGTGTTAAAGTTTGTTATGAAATGTGATTGTCCTTGTTTTCTCAATGGACTTTGAAGATGACTTCCACTCTGGTTGTCGAAACGTCAGTCACCCTTAACAAAAGTCTTACTCAAGACTACGCTTACCCGGTCGATCATATTTCACACCAAAAATAGAATTTTTGAAGGATGAAATATTTGCATTGTATTCGGTGATATTATATATACATATTATATTTTAGAACCATTTTTTTTTAACAGAGGATAACTAATATATAATGGGAATGACCAAATATAATTTGATGCAATGGCTGTAAAAATAGTGTGGAGGATGTTGACAGCATTGCTACAGTAAGTTAACCCAAACGTGCATGAAAAATATAATTTATTCCTATATATAATTTATTATTGGCAGAGTCTATCCCACCTCCCCCTCAATTAATAATAAAGGAAAAAAACTCTGCTAGCATTTGCCTTGATCAAAATTGACCTGATCATTTTGGGCATACTGGTAATATTTACTCATACCATTGCTGACTAACAGCTAACGTTTAACAGCTCTATAGGCATGTGTCCTTGAAAATATATTCTTTAAAGAACATCATGCAAACAGGATAGGGGTCCACCAAACCCCTATTTTGTTACAATGGCAAAGTGTGTGATTCGATCTGCACATGCCATTTGAGAAGAACTTTTAGTTGCTATATGCATTGGGATTTGCAATGAGAGGTTATAATAATGACTATACAACAACTGTTCTGCATTCTGATTGGCTGATTGTCAAGCATCAATGCTTCAACACCAGTAAGATAATGCAATTATATTTTTAAAATGATTTTTTCATGCATGCCCTGTCATTCTTGGCAACCATTGATATTCTAGTAAGGATGGAAATGGGAGGACAATATGGCTTAATAATTACTACTATTTTCAAAAACATGTGAACTACTACTGGCTAGTTTCGATTTGGAGGTTTTTTGCTGCCGTCAATCAAAACGAATCAGTCGGTACCTTTCATATTTTTTGACTTGTGGCAGAGAAAAACCAAATTACAGTGTGCACCATCATTACAGTATGCACCATCATTACAGTATAATGAAAATAGCAGTAAGTAACTTTATGAAAACATGCTCATACTCATTTTTAAATACTTTTGTTTGTCGCGCTGTAAGGTCTCTGAGACAGAATACATGGATGGCATCACAGAACCGTACCAAACAAACAAAAAAAAACAAAACGATTTTTTAAAATACTAACCTTATGGAAATAAATTCGTTTTTCGTTACTTTCGATATAACAATAAAATCTGTATGGCGACTGAAATAAATTTGAACCGAGAATATCTTTACGCATTTTCAAGTTTTAAATTTTTTGATGTGGGTATTCTTTAACCAAGATAACGGTGTTGCTTGAAAATATTCATTAAATCATAAAAAATATTGAACATCCTGTGATAAATTGATTTTCTCATGTACAATTTTGGAGTATATTTTGGACTAGCAAGCTATGTGTTGGTCACTTGCTGTCGCATAGAAGGAGCAACTGTATTTTAGAAATCTATAAGTGAATTTGTTTTAAAAAATGTAGAATACTTACATCTATTGGAGCAGGTTTAGTTTTTGTTTTGTCGGAGACTTTATACGAAGTAGTTCCTCTTTCTGTGAAAGAAAATGAAAGACGTTGAAGACACTTCGAGTACAAGCTATAGTTTTCTTGCACTTTGCTTTATAACAAGATTTAAAAGCTTTTATAACAAATAATGAACCTTTTCTAACCTGAAGTATTAATCTTCAGGGTAAAGGAGTATAATGCAAGCCTTAAGGATTTTATGAGAGTTTTAATAAGGGTGAAAGAGGTTCAAAAAATCATTTCATGCTATTTTTTCATACCTGGTTCAAGGTTAGTTTCTGCCATATCGAAGGCTACAAACTCACTTCATCGCCTTCAAAACTACGTATTAACATCATAGATAAAAGAAATACTTTTCCAGGTCCTAGTTGAAGCCTTGGGTGGTGTATTTTTGGCGTTTTTGAGAAAGAAATGGCGCACAAACGAGTTGAATTCACATTATGTTTGCAATATTCGCCAAAATCCAACAAGACCCTAGTAAACGTGAAGGCTCCCGCCCCGAACAGAATTTTGGTACTGGCACGAGCCATCGTCACGATCGATAATCTTTCGGTGACGATACGTAGAAGTCAATAATCTCCCGTCAAGGTAATATTTAGCAGTCGACAGTCAATCAGCAGTCAATCGTTAACGTCCTACAATTCGTATTTTTAAATATTAAAACTTTTTTTTAATATAAGATGTTGTCAAGGTAAGTCGTCTCAGATTCAAAAAGTTCCAAATGTTATTAATCCGAAAATCAGCCAAAACAACCGAAAATTTACCGAAGTCTCCGAATACTAAACGAATACTAACGAGTACGACCGAAGACCCTGGAGAGCTCACGACTGCATCCCGAAGACAAACATTCGACCGATCGAGGCAACAGTGTTATTTTTATAGTGTTCTCGTTGTGTTCTCTCCATTTCAAACTTTTTGAGTTGACTCTTGGGTGGAAAATGAAGGTCACACGTTCTTGTTTTTCACTTTTAAAACCAGGAAAACCTCCTTACAGGATACTTTTCTTCGGAACTGATTTTTTTGCCATTCCTCCTTTGAAAATGCTGCTTCAAAATGCAGGGTGAGTCACGTGAGACAGCGTTTTTACTTTCTGTAGACCGTGTAATTAAATTTATTTTTGAATATTTTTGAAATAAGTTTAATCGTAAATCTGATTTTAGAGAAATTTCGCATTACGTTTTCTAGATATTCGTGAAGCAATTTACGTTAATTTGGTTAAAAATACAGTCATAACTGCAGATCTATAATAACTAGATAATAATAATGATAATAATAATAATGATAATAATAATAATGATAATAATAATAATAATGATAATAATAATGATAATAATAATGATAATAATAATAACAATAATAATGATAATAATAATAACAATAATAATAATAATTAACACACTGAATTAATATACATCAACACTGCAATAATAATTTCGGTTCATTGTTGGATTTTTGGTCTTTTCAATCTTCTCTTAATCATTATAAAATAACTGTTATGAATGTCGTGTTCTGATTGGCTTGGAGCGCGTGCTTTATTAGAGCACATTGCTTGCAGGCGCACTTTCCCTTGCGTCATTCCTATCTAAAATAAGGGTTATTGTAATTTGTATTTCATAAAAGAAATAAAAAACTTGCTTGCTGTGCTGTGTGCCTTTATAAGGCACTTGGGGATTGGCAGAACACTTGAGAAGTGTCCAGAAGCACTCCGCTACGCGTCATGCTTCTCCTAACACTTATCTCATGTTCTGCCAACCCCCGCGTGCTTTATCACTGCACAGGTGCGTGCGTTTTCTATTTCTTCAATATTAAATCAAAAATACTATTCAAATTTAATAACGGGCAATGCAAACATATATAACTCTGTGTTTATCAGAAGGTCAGGTCATGTTGAAACTATTTAAGCTGATCACTGATTGGCAAATTTTGCTCTCTTTTGACAGTTAATCATTTTTTATCATACAGTAATGATAAATAGAGATTATCACAAGTTAAGAACTTGATATCGTTTTTATTCACTCGTTTTTCCGTATCATATCGCGAACGAGCAAGTCCTCGAGCGAGTGAGCAATATAATACGGAAAAACGAGTGAACAAAAACGATATCAAGTTCTTAACATGTAATAATTTGTTTATTACACATTTAGGCTCGATATATAACACACACAAAATGTTTTATTGTCTTAAATATCCTTAACCRACTTACACCATTTCAAAATGTTAAAGAATTATACGTTTCCAATTCAATATCATTCAAGATATTATAGCTTAATTAAAAATGTAAGAAGCACAAAATTCATCTTGAATTTGATAGAAATAAACACTAAATAGAGATTTATCTCGTCACTCTTGACTACTATCGTAGTCAAGTTACAGTTACAGTTTACCGTGAAGTGATATCGTATCACTTCACTGATATGGTTTTTATTCACGGCTTTATTTTACGGATATCGAGCTTAAATGTGTAATAAAAAGGTAAATTATACGCCGTGAAAAGATGAAAAAACTGACGTTCCATACATCTCAAATGCACCATACATATATAGAGTTTGGATTTGAATTTATTTTTGAATACATTTATTAAAAAATTCAATATTATAGTGAACAGAATTAAAATGTAGTCTTAGGGAGCTCACTTCTGCATGTCATTTGACTATTATCATTTGGTATATTTTTAATTAAACAGGGGCGTAACCAGGGACCTTGCAGGGGAGGTGCACAGGCAATGATTTGCAGGACCGAAAAAAAAAAAAAAAGAAAAAAAAATTAGCAGAACCAAAAAAAAAGCAGAACCTAAAAAAAAAGAAAAAGAATTCATAATGGGTGAGTGATTCTTAAAAAATTCCATAATATGCAGATGGAAAGTGGTCTTCATTTAATCAAAAAACATTTACATGCAATTTTAAAGCAAAAGGAGATAGATAAGCAGACTTTTAGCTATTATGAGGGGGGGATGCACGTGCTCCCTGTGTTCCCCCTGGTTACGGGCTGTTAAAACTATCATTTTGGAAAATATATCCCTACCTACTGACAATTTAGCTTCTCAGCGCTAGCTACCACGGGGTATACATTGTTTTAGATTGTGTTACAGTCACCAAAAAGTTCGGACATTGTTCTCGAATTTCCGTACAAATGTACTGACTCTAAATGGACTATTTACTTGGTTAATGTTTAGTTAGTTCTCTAAATACAGTAATGATGAAAAGGTAAATTACTACCTTGCTCTCATTGGTTTCTTTTGTCTTATTCTATCATATATACACTATTTTCTACCACTTCTTTCTCTTTTACTCCGACGAAGGACTAGCGTCCGAAACGTCAGTAAGTTTTTTCATCTTTTCACGGTGTATAATTTACCTTTTCATCATTACTGTTTCATTAGAAACACCGACGCAGCTCACACTAGTTTTTAGCTAGTTATATCTCTAAATACAAGTGAATGATCATTTTTCTAGCTTGACGGAAGCTTTTCTTGCTGTTGTTAAAATCTACCTAAATTTTCTCTTTAAAGTCAGTGAATTTGTATGGAAATCGGAGAAGAATGTCTAAACTTTTTGGTGACCATAACACAATCCAACAAGCTAGTGCCAAAAAGGTGAATAGCATGGGATTTCTCCAAGCTAGGGATAGAAATATTATTAGGCACTTAGTGCCTATAGAGAAAAAAATAAGTATATATATATATTATATATATCAGCTATTTCAAAAAAGGTTGAATACTGAATACTGAATACTGCATACTGAATAGTGCATTCCAAGGCCATGCAAAGGGCATTGTGGGTCTCATTAATTTGAAATAAAAAGTAAATATACAGCAATTAACTCTCTATATGTCTTTGTTGTAGATATAGAGCTACTCTGTAGATATGCTTCAATATTTAAATCGTTATTATTATTATTATTATTATTATCCACAATGCACCTCAGTCTTGGAATGCACTAATCAGTATGTAGTAGCAACTTACAACCCTTTACTGATCTGTGTAGATTTTGAATATCTTAATATCGAAATAATGATAGATGGCCAGAAAAATAGCAAACCATCCTGATAATACAGGGCTTGACAGGATGCGTGGGTGCGGACCCGCATAATTCGCCTTTTTCCGCACAATCGAACGATTTCCACATAATCTGGCAAAATCCGGCATAATTTCAAATTTTTTCCCGCATCCTGTCAGAAGCCCTGATAATAGAGTGAAGTCATTATACCCGTGAAATAGATATTAGAAAAATACACTTTAGTAGACCAGAATTCCATCGTTTTCTTTTTTGTCTACTTGACTATTACAGGTTGACTAGTATATTTTATTTCACGGGTTTAATGCCTTGACTCTAATCACTGCAATATTAGTATGAGAATATATAGTAAATATATATTTGTACTGCAGTTGTAATGTATCAAATTGAGCTGATCCTATTGAAAACCTTGAACATATAATTCAGTTTAAAAACATGTTATGTTTATTTATTTATTTTTTTCATTTAAGGTCTACTAACAACAGATTAATAGAGCATGTTGAGGTTGTCTGCCCACCAGAAAGAAGACGAGTAATCAATAAGGTGAGTAATATTAATCAGCTATATTGGATACTGCAAAATCATTACTGAGGTCAAAAACATAAAACATAAAGAAGCAGAGATTGAAATGGGAAGGAAGTTAAATAGATGTATCTAGTGATACAAACAACTTGTGCAATGCTCATAAATTGTTTATTACAGAAATTAGTATCGGGGTTTTACGTCAGTGCGACTGTTGTAACTGGTGCCACTTAGACAGTTAGACAAGAGAACCAAATAAAATGTAGAATGAAAATAAAACATTCTAACTTTGAGTAATAGAGCCAATCAGAAACCTAGACTTTTATAATAATAATAATAATAATAATATTATTATTTTTTAGTAATAATTATAATAATTAAATAATAATAATAATAATTTAGTTTAAAGTGCAAATGAACCCTTTGACCCGTCTGAACCCGTCTTCTGCACTATACGTTTTCACAAAATCGCATAAGTTGATTACCTTCAAAATGTTCCTTTTAAAACTAGATACAGAGTAAAACTAAATGAGCAATGACTTTTGTGAATATATAGCTCTGAAATATTAATTTCGGCCGTATGAAATCCATTGTTTAGTTTTGAAGTAGATTATGCACTATATTTAAATACTCTCAAATATCTCATAATTAGCTAGATAGATTTTTTCAAAAATCCCCACAAATGGAGGCATCTAGTATATAATTATGTGGTACGAAGCATTTTAATGTTGAACCTCTGCAAGGCTAAAATTATTTTCTAAACGAAATCAAATAT